AGGAGGAGGAGGAGCAGGAGGAGGAGCAGAAGAGCAGAGAACACTCATGCCCTGGGGCCATGTGGCCGCGGTGTGGTGGGCAGGGCCAGGGCTGGCCATCGCCCAGGCCTTACCATCCCTTTGATGCCTTCGGGGAAGAGGAAGCGGTTGTACAAGGTGCTCACGGTGTCATCTGGAAGCACCTCGCATTCCTTCTGCAGCAGAAGGTCCCCCGTGTCCAGGCCATCGTCCGCCCAGAAGATGGTGAAGCCCCCTTTCTTATCGCCATGGATGAGGGTCCTGGAAAGTGCGAGGGTCACACTGAGTCTGAAAGGCAGGGTCCCAGGATCTCTGGCTGTCCACCCCACGGCTCCTGCCACCCTCTAGCTGGCCCCACGCCGTCCCTAAGAAGCATGATAGCTGTTCCAGCCGGTAGGGGAAGGAAAATGTCCCTAGGACCCCGCCTGTGCCAGATGTCCTGCAAGACGCTCTGGGTGTCTTATGTGGCTCGACCTCACAGCCCAACTGGTTCCTTCCTGGTCCTGGGGACTGAACCCAGGAGCACTTAACCCCTGAGCCCCGTCCCCAGCCCCTTTTATATTTTATTTAGAGCCAGGGTCTCGCTGAGTGGCTTAGGGCCTCACTAAGTTGTGTGAGGCTGGCCTCCAACTTGCGATCCTCCTGCCTCAGCCTCCAGGGCCAATGGATTTCAGGTGTGCACCACGGTGCCCACCAGGTCCCCCCAGTGATTTTGACCCCATCTCACCAGTTGATGGCCGACGCCCCTCGGTGCCTGGGGAGCAGAGACGGGTGGTATATGATGGAGCCGTGTTGGGGGGCATTGATGACCTCCATGGGAATGAACTGGCTGCAGAACGGCAGGACGTTGAGCTCGGCACCCAGAGCCTGGTATTTGGCCACCACGTCGGGCAGGGCCTGTCCCCGAGCCCGCCACCGGGGAAACTTGAACACAGGCACGCCGTCCTTCTCAGCCTGTAGGCCTGAAGGGACAGCGGATGAGCAACTGGCCTCTCTGCCTCCACCCCCACCCGGTCCCCTCTTCCTGCCCAGCACACGGCTGTCCCTCCCAGYCCCTGCTGCTCTGCCAGGCTCCCCAAGGCCACACCGTGGTGAAGGCACAGACCAGGGGAGGCTCCCCGGGGATGGGGACATTGCCTTCTGACAACCTTCACCACCTCTGAGTATGTCCCTCCTCCAAACCCCATCTGCACCCTGAGGGCTGCTCTCTCCACCCACCGTCCCCCAAAGCCACGCCATGGTCAGCACCAGGTGACCCTCTCTGTCTCCGTCCCCTTCCGCAGCTCTCTGGGACTGTGTAAGTCACCTTCATTTCTGCCTTGACAGATGTTCCCTGAGCAGAGGGGAGCTAAGGTCTGCAGGGAGGAGGACCAGGGAGAGGGGAAGGAGGGGGGACCCTCTGTGCGATTTCTCTCCTCCATCGCCCAGGCTTGGGCTGCTTCCTGCTCCTCCTCCTCCTCCTCCTCCTCCT